TGCTTTAGCAAAATATAAAAATTTATTAACGTCAACAAAAATATTTTTTTTCAAACTCTATTAATTAAATCTTAACATTTACGTTAATAAAAAAGAGAAGGATTTTTAGATTTAGTACAAAAAAAAAGATAATCTCCAAGAGATTTATATATATTAAATTAAAAGGGGATTTCCCACAAAAATCTTTTTAAGCTTGGCTTAATTCTAGAAGGTGTGCGCAATAAAAAAAAAGAAAAAAAATTTTAATGAAAATTACAAACAGTAGACAGCATAAAAATATTTTTATAATTAAGTCAAAATTCCTTGTAAAATACCCCCCCCCCCAAATACTACGTGGTGGAAAGACTAGATAGAGATCAGGGATCCTGCCAACCCGATTCACCAAAATTTGGAAAACAGAAAAAATTTTTATTGGAAACCGAAAAAATTTATCGGCAGGATCCCAAATAGACGTGTTTTTAAATTGCTTTAGCTACGTGGTGGAAGGAGTTTCCAAAAAGATATACCTTCTATTTAAGATACGGACACCCCTAATTATAAAATCCCTCTCCTCAAATATTAGATACACCTCTTTTTAAGCAACTTATTCTAAATTTGGAAGGCCTGTAGATTGGAGAGTTGCCTAAACAATACTCTCTATCTAAAATACCCATCATTATAAGACTCCGCCCTTAAGAGCAGGTATTCTAAAATAAGGTATGACTGTATTTTCTTCTTAAAAAATTTTTTAAATTAAAATTTTGACGTTTTTTTATTGCGTGCACAGTCAAAAAAATATTTAAAAAAAGATTTTCTTTTTCCTCAATTTTTAATTTTCTAACGATAAATAAAAAAATCAAAAATCCAACACTAATTAAATATTTTAATTATAAAAAAACGTTATTTTAGTAGAGTGATGGAAGAAATATTTAATAAATTTAGAGGGATTTTGGGAGTGTAAAAAAGTGAGGGGATTAAATATGAGGGAAAAAAGATTAGAGAATCCTTAAAATTTGTGCCAACTCCAGGATAAAAAAAATTTATTTTTTTTATTAATTAAATAATGGCATTTTTAGAGGGATGTCTGAAGAAAAATTTTAGAAAAAAAGAAAAAAAATTTTTTTGACGAGAAAAGAAGGGGGATTTAATTTTTAAAGTTATATAATTAAGGGGAAAAAGTAAAAAAAGCTTAAAAAAATTTTTTTTTAAATTAAAAAAAAGGAGGAATTTAAAAAGGTGTTTCTTAGATATAGAGGGATGTCTGAAGAATTAAAAAAAAATTTTTTTGAAGAGAAAAGAGTGGAATTATTTTTTAAAACGTTATAATTGAGGGGGAAAAGGGAAGAAAACTTTTAAAAATTTTAATAAAAATTAGAAAAAAAAAAGACGGAATTTAAAAAGGTGTTTCTTACCTATAGAAGGCGCAAGGCGTAAGAACTTAAGTCGCAAAAAATTTAGAAAAAAAATTTTTTTTAATTATAAAAAATTATTGAAGAAGAAAAAAAGGATAAAGATGGAAGATTTCTTTTAAATAAATTAAGGATAAAGTAGATTAAAAAATAAATTTAAAAAAATTAATTAAATATACTATATCACATGGTAATTTAGCTAAAAACTATTTAAATAAAAATGTCATATTTTAAATAAAAAAAAATTTTTTTTAATCCTTCTAATTTTAGAGACAAAGTCTTTGTACTTCAATTAAAAATACAGACTTGGAGAAAAAAATCTTCAAGTCTTTATCTTAAACATGAATCGAGACTGGATTGAGAGAGTTCTAGAACCAACTTAAAAGAAGCAAAATCAATATATCGATGACCGAGATTTTTGTTTTTACTAAAATAGGTCTCCGCCAGATCTCTAAGTAAGCCAGATCTCTAAGCCCGGAAACCCGATTTTTTTCAACCCGATTTTTTCATACGAGAGTTCGTCGAGTCGAGTCAAATAACACAAAAATTAAGCATCATTCTTGCCTGTTGGGAGAGAATGATGCTTCTGAAAATTGTGAAAATTGAAAAACCTTATCTCACCCCATAGGACAGATTTGAGCTTATTCTTCATGTCATTCGACTCAGCTCACCGAGCTCTTTCGAATAACATATAGTTTATTTGAATCGGTTTCCGGGACTTGTACCAAGATTTTCCAAATAATTATTTATTTAATTAGCCCAACATTTATGCATAAACTCTCAAAAAAAATTTTTAATTAAAAAAAAATAAAAATTTTTGTACTTTAATTAAAAAAATGCACGTACATTATTTATTGCATAATTAAAGCAAAAAATTTGTAAAAAAATAAATATTACAAAAAGTTATGTTTACAAAATATTAAAAATTTTTATAAAAATTAAATATTAAAAAATATTTAAAAAAAAAATAAAATTAATTTAAAAAATTGTGTACGTTTATGTAAGAGACCAAAAAATAAATTTTTTTTTAATTTTTAAAAAATAATATTCATTTACAAATAAATAAATGCAGACAGATTAGCAGCAAAAAAGCTTTTATTTATTAAAAATATTTATTTATTTTGTAAGAAATAATGTAAGATTATTTAAAAAAATTTTTTTAAATTTAACTGCGTAAATAAAATAAACAAAAATAAAATGATAAATAAAAAAATAAAAAAAATTAAATAGAAAGCAGGCTTTTGCAAAAATTTTAAAATTTTTTAAATGTGCGCAAGAATAACAAGAATAACAATAACAACAGTTATTCTAAAATACCCTAACAGTTATAAAAATCTCTAGTTTTTATGGGCACGTTTTTTTAAAATTTGTTTGACTACTTGATAAGGAGCATGGCAGGATGCAAAATTGTGGGGGTAGTTTTTTCGAATTACGGCTGCTATTTGTGCCCGACCCTGATGGGGAAGTGTCCTTAACAAATAAGCCATAGACTAAATATCAGTGTCTAGAAGCTACGAGAAAACGTAGACAGGTACAAGTAAGATTATGAAGGATATATAAGGGAACACAGGTACGGATACGAACAAATTTTAAAGTTCCGAACACTGTTCAACAAGTGGGAGAGGGCCAACGTAGCGCAAGCCTAAACCTATCGCAGAAGGAATAAAAAAAATTTTTTTAAAAGAACCGGATCAAAAATATTTTAAATCGTATAATTATTTTAAAAATAATACGCATATTTATTTATTTAAAGAATCATGGAAATAAATATAATTTTTGAACGTTCAAAAAAAATTTTTTTAATAAATTAAATTAATTGTTATGTGTAAATAAATAAATTTAAAAATAGGTAAAAATAAAAGAAAGGAGAAAAAAAAGAAAATAAAAAATTAATTAATTAAAAAATAATTAAATAAAAGAGAAAAAAATAATAAGGAAATAAAAAATTTATTTTTGCAATTTCAGCTAGCAGAAAAAAAATTAAAAATTAATTGAATAAAATAAAAAAAAACAAAAAATAAGAATAATAAATAATAATTGTTTTTGGTCTTTAAAGTTTTATTATTTTTTAAAAATTATTTTTTATTTATGTAGGGAATTTTAATGGACGTAAATACCTAATTTTTTCACTTCCCTTTTATTAAAAATTTTTGCAAGAAAAAATAAAAAAAAAATAAAAAAAATATTTGTTACAAAAATTGACAAAAAATTATTTTTATTAATAGTCGGACCTAATTTTTAGCTACATCCGATAGTGGATACTCCCCTTCTTTTAAGGAAAACATTCTACATGTTGAAGTGGCTATAGTGTCTGAGTATGGTTGTCTGTTTTTACCAGGTTCTTTGGTTACTCGAAACCGAAAATCTTAGGTTTTTCTACTTTCAGCTGCCTAAACCGATTTTTTCTTTACGGCTGTTTTTTAAAAATTTTTTCTATTTTTAGAAACATCCAAGGGACTCCCAAAATTAAATAACCATCCATTTAGAGAACGTGTTCTAAAATTTAGGAGGGGCATTGAGAGGGGGATCTAGGCGATATCCTCAATTCAAGATATAAAATTTATTATAGGATGATTTTTACACATCCTCCAAGGATGTATTTATAAATGAGATCCGACTATAATTTTTAAAAAAATCCCCCACCTTAACGATCCACGCATTTCAAAAAAAAATTGTCTTGTTTGAACACAAAATACGACCATATTCTTCATTTTAAATTGAACATACATATTCTCCAACTACCTGAATAACTAATAAATTGAAAAAATAAAAAAAAAATTTAAGATATAAAAACATTTTTTAAAGTTTTTGACTTTTTCGAAAAAATTTTTATCTATTTTATCATCAAAAAAATTGTAAAATAATATTAAAAATTTTCAACAACAAAAAAATTAAATACATATAAAATCAAAAAAAAATTTTTTTGGTTCTAGACCAAAGCTAGAAATTTTTTTTCAAAATTTTTTTTATTCAATTTCCCCTTCCATATTTTCTCTCTTCTCTTTTAAACGACGTTCAAAAGCTTTACGTTGTGAAGGTTTTATTCTTAAAAAAAATTTTTTATTAAAAAAAAATTTTTTATTAAAAAAATTTTTTTTAAACAAATTTTTCTTACTTTTCATAAGGTTCTTGTTTATCTTCCAATCTTCGTTGTTGTTCACAAAGTTCTCGAAAAATTAGCCATTCCTCTAAAAATTAAGAAAATTTTTGAGTAAAAATTTTAGTTTGTTCCCCCCTTTTTTTAAATTTTATCAGAATCATTTCTTGTCTCTTGGATTCATTCCTAATCCCACAAAACAGACCAACGCAAGTAAAAAAGTGGACATGGCAAAATTGAAACTTTGGTTAAGTGGATAAGAGCCCTGACTAAAAATCTCTCTTTAAATTTAGGGTCGAAGGTTCGAACCTTTTCATGGTTAATTGATAACTCCCAATTAAGCAAATAAATTATCCAATAATTTTAAATAATATTCCCCACTCTAATCTCTTATGATTATTTAAAAAATTTCAATCACTCTTTATCTTGATTGAAAGAAGGTAAAAAGCAAATATAAAAAGGGTAGTCTATTAAGAAAAAGTAAGAAGGGGAAACACAAACCACACTTTTTTCCATCAATATTTAAGTAAATTTTTACCATATTCAACTTCAGCAACCAAATTAGCAAATTTATTTTCTGGTGTATCAAAAATTAATTCGGGTGATGGATTTTCCTTTACAAAAAATAATTATTTTTGGACTTATAATTCATTTAAAAAACCTTTTTTAATTGTGGCCTTTTCGGATCAGGATAAAAATATTTTCCAGTTTTTAAAAGTAAAGAATGTCTATCAATTATTGAAAATAAATCCAAATCCATCCAACATTTACTTTTTGCTAATTCTTCACTGACAAAACCCATATGGAAATAAATGTACTTTAAATTATAAAAAAAATTATTTTTGTAAAAAATTAATTTTTCCTAAAAAAATTTTCAAAAAAAATTTTTTTTTCTAAGAAAATTTCCTAAAAAATTTTCAAAAAATATTTTTCCAAAAAATTTTCAAAAAATTTTACCCAAAAAATTCTTCAAAAAAAAATTTTTCTGAAAAAATTCACCTCATATTTAGCTTCCAATTCTGTTGGATCTAACAAACAAATATGTGGAGTATTATTTACAATTGTTTTTAACTTGAAAAAAAAATATTAAAAAATTATTAAATTTAAAATTAAATTTTAAAAAAATATAAATTTTTTTTGCGATACTTAATGTTCTGAAAGGTATTTTAAAATTCTGGTCTTTAATTCTGCTTTTTAACTCTGACTTGTTCTGGTTTTAAAATTATTATAAAAATTTCTAATATCGAATTCTCATATTAAAATTCTGATTTAAAATTCTGACATTAAGATTCTGATTTTAAATTCTGCTTTTAAAATTCTGGTTGAAATTCTGGTTTTAAAATTCTGATTTTAAATTCTGGTTTTAAAATTCTGAATTTTTAATTCTGACTTATTCTGATTTTAAAATTCTGAATTTTTAATTTATTTTTAAAATTCATAAGGAAATAAATTAAAAAAATTTTCCAGAATTTTTAAAAATTTTTACTACTCACATCCCCAGATTCAAAAAAATTGCTAATTTGTTCCAAACAAATATCCATTTTCTGCACTTCAGAACCAAATAATAATTCTGGGCATTTTTCGAATATTCTTCTTAAACCAATTCCTGAAGCTAGTCCACGCCCACTAAATAAATTAATTCGGCTTTGGATTGATTGGGGAGTTTCGTTTTCAAGTAAGTCACACCATCTTAAAATTAATAATATTTATTTGTAATATTTTTAAATTCTGATTTTAAATTCTAGTTTAAATTCTAGTTTTAAAATTCTGATTTAAAATTTTGATTTTAAAAAATGATTTTAAATTCTGATTTTAAAATTCTAGTCTTAAAATTCTGACATTAAATTCTAATTATCAGTTCTGATTTTAAATTCTAGTTTTAAAATTCTGACATTAAATTCTAATTATTAATTCTAACTTTAAATTCTGGTTTTAAAATTCTGAAAATAAAATTCTGATTTTAAATTCTGATTTCAAAATTTCGATTGTAAATTCTGCTTTTAAAATTCTGATATCCTAAATTCTGATTTTCTTTCTAGTTTTAAAATTCTAGTTTTCAAATTCTGATATCAAAATTGAGATTTTCATCTCTTTCTAAATTCTGATTTTCATTTCTAGTTTTAAAATTCTAGTTGAAATTCTGATTTAAAAATTAAAGCTTCAAAATTCTGATATTCAAATTCTGATTTTTAGTAGAATATTTTTGGCAAAAAATTATATTTAAAAAATCCTCCCTTACTTTGCAAACATTCTAATAGAATCCTCATAATTCATTATAAAATTCTCAACAAAAATTGTAAACATTTTATAAATAGATTGACCATTTTTAATCATTGAACGAAAAAGTTTTTCCTCGTGTAAACAAGCATCTTCTAAAAATTCTGGTTGAATACCTTCAAAAAATTTTTTTTTATTTGTTTAAGAAAAAACAATACCAAGATTTAGTAATTCTTTGAATGGATAAAGTGCTGAATTAATTGCCTGGAAGAAAATTTTATTTTGAAATAAAAAGCAGAAACACGAAAGTAAAGCAGAATTAAAATGAGAATTTTGAATATCAGAATTAAATCAAAATTAAAAAAATCAGAATTAAAATTCAGAATTCAATATCAGAATTACAAAATCAGAATAAAAATCAGAATTAAAATTCAGAATTTAACATCAGAATTTCAAAATCAGAATTTTAAAATCAAAATTCAGTATCAGAATAAAAATCAGAATTTAATATCAGAATTACAAAATCAGAATTTTATATCAGAATTACAAAATCAGAATGATCAAAATTAAAAATCAGTATCAGAATAAAAATCAGAATTTAATATCGGAATTACAAAATCAGAATAAAAATCAGAATTTTATATCAGAATTACAAAATCAGAATGATCAAAATTAAAAATCAGTATCAGAATAAAAATCAGAATTTAATATCGGAATTACAAAATCAGAATAAAAATCAGAATTTTATATCAGAATTACAAAATCAGAATGATCAAAATTAAAAATCAGTATCAGAATAAAAATCAGAATTTAATATCGGAATTACAAAATCAGAATAAAAATCAGAATTTTATATCAGAATTACAAAATCAGAATGATCAAAATTAAAAATCAGTATCAGAATAAAAATCAGAATTTAATATCGGAATTACAAAATCAGAATAAAAATCAGAATTTTATATCAGAATTACAAAATCAGAATGATCAAAATTAAAAATCAGAATTATTACCAGAATCTTAAAATCAGAATTAATATCAGAATTTAATACCATTATTTGAAAATCAGAATAAATAAGAAACTCACATGTTGATCCACCCAAGGCAGTGTAAATATTTTTCCTTTCGTTTCATATTCTTCAACAATTGATTTAACTAATTCTGTAGCTGTTTCATTTAACATATCAGAATTTTTGATTGAAGTACTAGGTGTTGTTAAATATCTAACTGCTTGATTTTTATAATTATTTAAATAATTAAAACTAATTAAAAATTTTCTCATTGCCATTATGAGCTCTAAAAATAATTTTTTTATTAAAAAAATAAATTAAAAAAATATTTTTTTCGTTGATTAAACAAAATATTCGAACAATCCAAAAAATTAATTTTTAATGAGATTTTTATGTCAAAACGAAAATTAAAAATGAATGCAAAATGATGAGAGAGATCATTTTAGTAAGCTTAAATATTTTCAAAAATTAAATTAAATATATAAAGCTGTCAATACATGTAGTATATGTGTGTTTTTAAATGCCACAAAAATTAAAAAAAAATTTCGAGATTCTATAAAAATTAGTTTTATGGAATTCGTAATTGATAATCTCCATTTGTTGTAATATAACGAACCCATGGAAGTGCTTGATATCCACTCTTTTCAATAATTTTTAGATAGCGAACCTTTAAAATTTAATTTAAGTTAAAAAACGAAAATTTTTTGCTGCAAATTTTTGCGGACAAAATTTTTTAGTCCGCAAATTTTTTGCGGACAAATTTTTCATCTCGAATTTTCTGCGGGCTTTTGGAAAATTGAAGAAACTAGTTATAATTTATTTTGCAAAGTCCGCAAATTTTTTTTTGCGGACAAAATCTTTGTCCGCAAAAAATTTGCGGACGAATTTTCCCAAATTTACCCCCCGCATTTCAACAATTTATACCCCCATAATTTAAAAATTATTTAAAAAATTCAACAAAAACCGTGTCGACGCAGAAGACCCACAGACAGAAGACCCAAGGACAGAAGACCCACGGACAGAAGACCCACAATGACAGAATACCCACAGACAAAAGACCCACAACTATTCTTTGTTTCCCTTTAATTGCGCATAAATTTTGGCGCGAGAAATGTTGTTAGTTCTATTTGTTTTCCACAATAAGTAATTGATCCAACAACGGGGAAGTTGTTTCAATATTAGGGATGTTCCAACAATCTGGAAGGTTGTTCAAACAATCTGGGACGTTGTTCCAATGAAAGGGGAGTTTGTTCCAAGAACTGGTATATTATTTCAACAATGGGGAATGTTCTTGTACCAATGGTGAAGTTGTTCCGGGAATATTGTCACAATTACCGGGGAATTTGTTTAACAATGAGAGATTTGTTTATATTGAGAGATTTTAATTTCCCCGAAGAGAGATCTTAATTTCCCGGATTTTCGGAATTTTGATCCGGAAAATCCGGTCGATGTCGTTCAAATAATCGGATCCGATCAGGTTCATATATAAAAAGTTAGAATCGAGAGGTATTTAGGATTAACTGGATTATAGCGAGAGTCAGTTAAGTCCACATGGAGGGATATAGAAGGATTAGAAGCGATCAAGAGTATTGGAGATATGCAAGTATATCGGGGATCTTTGGGATAGCAGAGATTAGTTAATTATTTCTGAGTAACATTGAGAGATATCGGTGGATAAAGGCAATTGGTGGTAAAAGCTTAGAAGGTTAACAATGAGAGAAATTTCCTGACATATCCGATTTACTGTTAAGAAATATATAGTAGTATTTCTTCTTCTGGTTCCTGTTATACACAATTCACGTATAAGAATAGATATTGGTAGATTCGAGATTTTGCCCCTATATTCTCTATGTCCCAAACTATTCCTACATATCCCAATTAATCACCCGACTCTTCAAATCGCTTTCTAATTTAATGATCTAAATCGCACCCATCAATAAAATTTAACGCTAAAAATTATATTGCTTAACTTTATAATAAAATTTTTTTATATTTTAAAATTTTTTAATTTTGTTTTTAATTTTAATTTTAATTTTGTGCCTTGAAAAATTGGAAATTTTTTTCAGAAATTTCAGAAAATTTCTTATAAAGTTTTAGTTAAAAATTTTCTTGTGGGTCTTTTGTCTGTGGGTATTCTGTCTTTGTGGGTCTTCTGTCTGTGGGTCTTTTGTCTGTGGGTATTCTGTCCTTGGGTCTTCTGTCTGTGGGTCTTCTGTCACTACGCCAACAAAAACAAACCTGAATTCCAGATGTAGTAAAATAAGGAATTTCAAATCTAATTTTGACAGGCGGCTTTCTTTCAGCTTCCTCACTAACAACACTTGGCAATTTAAATTGTGCTCTCATTAAATATTCTTTGCCGCCCGGGAAACTTTTAATATTCCAAATAAAAGCAGTTTCTTCTGGTACATAACGGCAATGTCCAATTGCTGCTTTAAATCGAGGAGTGTCTGCATCACGAGGTGCTGGTATAATAATTTCTACATTATTGGCTGTTGAACGACGTTTAAATTGGGATTTTGCCTTTTTAAAAATAGAAAATTTTTAAAATAACCTAAAAATTTTTGCGGACAACATTTGCGGACTTTTTTAATTTGAAGAAAAAGTCCGCAAATATTGTCCGCAAATTTTTTCGTAAAAATTTGCGGACTTTTTTATATTGAAGAAAAAATCCGCAAATGTTGTCCGCAAAAATTTTTTTAAATTATTTTCCCCAGAATAGGGTAAAATATATACCTTAATCATATATTCAATACGTGAATGTGAAAAGCGTTCAATTACCTTAAAAAATAAATAGACAACAATAACTTTTTAATAAACTCACAGTTTCAATCCAAATCAAAGGTTTAACAACTGTACTCAACCTATAACTCATCAACTCAAACTCTCCATCAGGTGGAACGAAGCTAATTGTACGATCATTTTCTTTTGAGAAAAAATTTTTTTAACCTATATTTTTAATGAAAATGCTGTCCACAACCGATTTTGAACTCATTCAGAATCAGTCAGTTCTTTGTGATTTTTTAGTAATATTCATGGAAAAAATTAAAAAACCCGAGGAAAGTAAAGTAAAAAAGAGTACATATGTATGATTTTTCAATTCCACCAACCCCTCCCCTGACTTAAAAATAAATATATTACCTAGGCATAAACTTGCGGATAAAATTTGTGGATAAAATTCGACATTTGCGGACAAAATCGAAATTTGCGGATAAAATCGAGACTTGCGGACAAAATCGAAATTTGCGGACAAATTCGAAATTTGCGGACATATTGAAAAATCGCCCAACCACAATAATAAGTCAGAAACTCTGCCTAATTGGAATCAATCGGTTATAAATCGGTCGTGGACAACCTTTTAGTAAGTAAAATTTAAATAAAAATACCAAATCTCGATAGACGAACACATTGATGAAATTTAATATCTTCTAATTCAACAGTTTTGCTTCTACCTCCTTTAAAAAAATTTTAAAAATAAAAAAAAAATCAAAGAAAATTAACAAACTTCCAGTATTCTCAAATTGAACTTTATCATTTAATCCTAAACGAAGTTCAGGCATTCCAGTTAGAAATACACGCATTTTAACTGAACCAATTATTTCACTTTGTAAAACAACACCATTTGCATTTGCCTAAAAATTAGCTTATTTTTTAAAATTGAGATTTAAAATCTGCGGATTGACACTTGCGGACAAAACTGTAATCTTATATGGAGAGCTTTTTTGAAAACAAAAAAAAAATCAAAAATCGGAGATCAAAAAAGGTCCAAAAATACTAAAACCGAAAATATTTTTCTAAATTTCGAAACCGAAATTTCGAGACGAATTTTCGAAAATAAATTTTAAAAAATCAAATTCTCGGAAAAATTTTTTGCAAACTGACACTTGCGGACAAAACAAGATTATTGAAACAGAAATAAAGAGCAAAGAATCACAGGGCCAAATAATTTCCGGTAGAAAAATTTTTTCTTTGTGATTGTCCGCAAATTTCCCCCTATCAATGATATCCTTTAAACTCTAATAATTTAAAAAAAACACAAACCAGCAAATTTAAAGATTCAATAACATCCAAAAACACTTCATTTTTCCTGTGTTTAATACCCTCAGAACGCCACGAAACCGCATTAGTAACAGCCATGGGAGGGCGTATTTGGCTCTTTTCCAATTTATATCCTTCTTGTGTTATATACCTTAAATTTTAGAAAAATGAACAGAAAAAATAGATAAAAATCAACTCTCTCAAAATTCTCCCTTCAGTAACTTGAGGATAACCAAAATCCATCATTTCATCTAGCAATTCATAAATAATAACAAAATTGTCTTTAACAGATTCTTCCTCAACATCTTTAAAATATTCAGAAAAAACTCCAACAAGTTTGTAAAGAAATGTTTGCATTAAAGCAACCTATATAAATAAAAATTTTAATTTTTAGAAATTTAAAGTAGTGTTAAGGTTAAATTTGTACTTATAAAAAATTTTAAAAAATGAGGAAAAAATTTACAAAAAATATAAACAAAACTGTTAAAGTCTTCTAAAAACTTGAGAATTTATATAAATAATTTGTAAAATGTCAGAAAATTGTCGCTGAATTTTTCTAATATTTTGATAAAAAAAATTCAAAAATTTTTTCCTCGAAATTTCTTAGAAAATTACTTGAAGAGTTTTCTTGGAATTCTTTTTGGAACTCAAAAATCAATCCCTATAAGCGCTCCCAAATATCCGCCATACAAAAAACCCCAATTCAAAAAAAACTTGAAAACCTACATTAACATTATGGTCAGAAACGGCAACAACTTAATTTATAAAATTTAAAAGAATTTATTTTTAAAATACCATAAACATTATTGTATTTAATAAACACAAAAATAGCATCAGCTACATCGACAATAGGAGTCAATTTTCCTTCCTCTTCCATATCCACAAGAAAAGGAATAAATTTTTCAATAATTGTCAAGTCAACATCTCCACGATAATTTCGAGAAATTAATACCTTTTTTTAAATAAATATAAATTTTTTAACCAAAGTATTTTCGTTTTCACAGTATTACCAATATATTTTGAACATGTTTTTCGATAATTAAACCTCCTAGCCTGATCCTAAGACCAAGCATATTTTCACCACAATACCGAAATAAAAAATCCTGCAATTCTAAAAACCATTCGGGATGACCCTCTATTTGTAAGGACTTGTAAGAAAATCAAACTTAAATAACCGAGATAGTTGTTATAGAGTTCGTTTAGGTCCGATCTCTAATAAAAATGCATACTTGAAAATTCAAAATACCCAAAAACAAAATGAGAAAATTAACTAATGTTTCGTATGAGTTATTCTCGAGTAAACCAAATTAAAATTTTAAAGGCAACTTTATGTACAAAAACAAATTCAAAAAAAGTATGCAAACAATTTGGACAAAAAAAATTTTTTTTTAAAAATCCCTGTGTGGAAATAACTTGAAGGCCAAACAACAAAAATTTTGTTCAAAATTCATCCATTTCACTTTTATACTTTCTTCTCTTTTCCTCTTCCAATTCATTACGTAAACGTAAATTTTCCCTTTCCAATTCCATCACTTTTTGTTGCAATAATTGTTCTCGTTCACGACGTTTTGTTCGAGAATGTTTTGCTGCTTCATTATTTTTTGAACGTCGTTCCCAATATTTAAGTCTTTCCAATTCTGTTCGAAATTCTTTTGTTGTGGTTGTAGATGAAGGGCATTTTAGGATATTATTTTCAGTTTTTATATGATGATTTGAACGTTCTAATCCTTTTTCTAAATTCATTTCTTCAACCAAATTATTATTTGTTAAACAAGAAAAAGGTTGACGTGATGTTCTAATTTGTCCTATATTATTGTTATTGTTGTTAGTCTTTACAAAATTAGAAAAAGATTCTGGACTTGAATTTTCATTTAATGTGTTATTGGTGTTATAATTTGAAAATGCTGTCCAACAATTGGGATAAGGTGATAAATGTTGTTGGGCCAAGTTGGAGGGACCTATATTTACAAGATACTTTTGGATGAGGAAAAATTTTTAATCGCAAGAACAAAAAAGATACTTGAGATTGGGGTACCTAAGATTAGGGTTGCCAATTCCGAGTCGGGCCGACGTTCTAGGAATTTTTTTGGGCTTCAGGCCGGGACGAGTCATTTCCGAGCCTTATTTTTATCGAGTTGGGCCATTTTTAAGTCAAATAGTTCTTTCGGAACGAGTCGGTCTATTTAGGCGACCCTACTTAAAATGATTTGAAAATGAAATCATAATTAATTCAGAAACATCCTCAATCTATAGACATGGATTTTAGTTAGATTTTTAAGCAAAATATTCAAAAAAAATTTTTTTGAAGCACCTTCAATATTATTAAAACTGGAAGCTTCCGAAGCATTACTAGAAGAATGTTGTTCCCAAATATTTGACGAATTTATTGGAGAAGATAAAAATGTTGGATCACTATTACTATTTTCTGCAACAGGACAAAAAGCTAAAGCATTTGAATAAGCTAAAATTCCTTGAGAAATAGCTGTAGCTGATGTATTGTTGTTATTGAAAAAGGTATTAGCAAGAGGTATATTATTAGAGTTTTGTTGTTGTTGAAACAGTTGATTTGAAATATTCAAAGCGTTAATGTTGAAATCCATTTGTTTTTGATCAATTAATTTTAAGATAAAAATAGGAGTATCACAAACTAGATAATTCTTAATTAATATAAGAATAAATAAAAAAATGAGATGGAATGAGTCTGGTTTTCGGCTGATAATGGGAATGGGAATATGTGGGAAAAAGATAAAAATAAGTTAATCAACAGAGGGCAGATTTATATAAATAAAATCACTGAAGCGACCCTGCCCGCGAAATGACTACACTTTTCCATTCTAAATATCACTGGTCATTTCTGCCTTTCTTATCTGGTTCATGAAAAGAATTGTTTTAGAGCCTTATTTCAATATAAATCTGCCTTCTGTTTATCAACTATTGAGGTCACAAATTTTAATAATTAAAAATCTCCTAAATTTTAGTCAAAAAACATAAAATGCATGGAAAACAAAATTGATTGCATCATAAGAAAAATAAACGGAAAAAAGCAAAACGGAAATAAGAGAGAGGTCGCTAGCGGGCCACAAACTCTCCCTAAAAAACAAACAATATGAAAATGGTGCAACAGAAGGTAAAAAACCACAAAAAATCATCATTATTGTGACTAATGGCATTTGGCGTCGCCCACCCACCTTGTGTGTGCCAACAGAAAAAAATTGTACAACGAAAAAAAACAGGCGACGCCAATGTGCAAGTAAAGGAATGAACAAAAAACACAAAAGCAAAGGCTATTATTTTTCTTATTTTGTTTTTATTATTTTTATTTTCAAGTAGCTGATATAACCATGTGTTTTGGCTATATCGATTTACCCAAGTTTTAATAAGGTTAATTAAAAATAAGGTTACTTTAAAATTAAACTCAAGTTTAACACTCAAGTTTTAAAAAAAATGTAAGTTTATTAAAAAGGCAAGCTCAAGTCTAAGCTTATTTAAATAAACCTAAGTTTACTTAAAAACAAAACTTTAGAACAAACTTAAGTTTAACACTTAAGTTTTAAAAACCTAAACTTGTTTACATTAAACTTAGTTGTTTACTCAAGTTTACACTTATGTTTTATTAAGAAACCAAACTTAAGTTTACCAACTTTTATTAAAAACATTTTCATAGACTTAAGTTTTTAACTTAAGTTTAAATAAAACAAGTTTATTAAAAACCTAAACTTAAGTTTACCAACTTTTATTTAAAACATTTTTACAGACTTAAGTTTCTAATAAACTTATTTTCTTAAAAACTTAAGTTTCCTTTTCTTACATTTAAATTAAAAAATCACCACCAACCTTTCCCTTCATATCCAAAAAGAAAATTGCTGAACAAGCCATTCTTTTTTTCAGCCAAATGTTGTTAAAGCCAAAAATATATTGTTGTTTTCCTTGTAATTTTATTTTTGAAAATTGTTGTTTAATTTTATTTATTTTCGTTGTTTGTAAATTAGAATATTCTGAACAATTAGAAGAAATTGAAGAAGCAACAAATAATTTGACAAATGTAGGTCTTTTGAGATCTTAAAAATTCTCAATATTAGAAATTAAAAATCAAAAAAAAATAAAGAGTTCAGGAGGCCGGAATATCCAACCCCTTAAATCTGCCAAAAAATAACAAACTGCGGAAAAATACAAACACATATATATCGAGGATGTCACGGACTTTTCTGACTTTTGATGGTTACTTTTGAAAAAAAACTTTCAGGACTTCTCTCGACTAAAAATTTCCCAAAACTCGACCCGCCTCCTCTTAATCCTCCTGGCCCGGACCTTTTCTCGACCCGATCCCAAACGTTCATCTACTAGAAAAATAAAAATCCTATACCTAAATATTAACCTTTCAAAAATTTTTCCTAAATTACAGATTTCTCAACCACCTAGTAATGAGACAAATATTAATTTAATAGATGAACTTTACAAATTAATAATTCAAAAACCTTTATGCGAATCCTCTTCCACAGGTAATGATGAACACAACAATTGAGGCGGCTAGTTCAAAGCTCCTTCAACAAAACACAAATCTAATCCTGTCCTGTTTTAAAAATTTAATTAATGAACGATAAAACAAATTTTAAAAAATATTGTTTAAATTAAACAAAAAAAAATTTTTTTTGAAAAAAATAAAATAAAATCAATTTTATTTAATACTTTTTTTAAAAAATAAAATGTATAACAACAATAACAAAAAATAAATTAAAATTAAAGACCGGACTGACAAGTGTCGTACACGAGAATCGAGATCTCGAAAAATCCTCGATCAAAATAAACCTTAATAATCGAGATTATCTCGACAAATCTCGTTAAATCACGATAATTCACAAAATTTTTCCAAACGAGAATCGAGATCAAGAAAAATTCTCAATCTCGATAACCTAGATTTTCTATCAAGACTCGGTCAGGTCTCTAATTAAAATAACACAAATTCAAATAAACCTAAAATATTATTCATCTTCATTACTGCTATAATCACCGCTTGTTTCATCATCAATATAAACATTAATAGCCGCCGATTTATTTAAATTTATTTTTCCATTCATCTTGGGTTGCTTCAATTCTTTTGATTTTTCTTCCTTCTCTTGTTTCTGCTTCTCTTTCGCCTCCTTCCCTTCCTTCTCCTCTTTTTTCTCCTCCTCCTCTTCATCACCATCTTCTTCTCCTTCCTCCTCTTCTTCATTTTCCTTCATTTCTACATTTTTAATTTCTTCTTTAACACTTAATTTTTCCTCTTTTTTGACTGTTAAATTATTTTTATTTCCATTTTTCATCATTTCAAAAAGGCCTCCATTTCGTAAAAGTTTTTTCTGAGCTTCAATCTCTTTATCTAATATTTTTTGAAGAAGGCGAACAGCATTGCGAACATCTCTATGTAAAGGTTTCTGGACATAAATCTCTTAAAAATAAAAACGAAATTAGAAGAAAGTCTTTTGGTTCAAGTGGTGGAGCTAAAAACTATGAAAAAAAATCTGGAGAAGCTTCATATATTTATGTGGATTCTATGAGGTCCCTACCAATCAGTTATTTATTTTTGAGTGCTTAATTTTAGAATAAATTCTAATTTAATTTTGGAGTTATTTTTTTCGACAGATATTAGACTTAATTTTCGGGTCTAGAATTGAAATTGACACACTCTAGTATTTTATGCATATCCATGTCAGGGATGGGTCGGGTTACCCAAAACACGGCTTAAAAAGACCCGAAACCCTTCCAAGGAAAATTTTTGAAAACCAAATCCGAAACCGACAAGACTTTTTTCTCAACACGACCCATCCACGATCCATGCAGTAAAACCCCACCAAGATTCCCTAAATCCGCTTCCTCCTTCAAGATTCACTAAAACCCCCAAAGATTCACTAAAACCTCCTTGTAAGATTCCCTTTCAAGAAAAAAATTAAAAAAAAAAAAACAAAACCTAATGTAACAACTATCACATCATATAAAATATCAAAAAATTGTTTGTTTCCAACATTATTTGTTAAAAATTGAAAAAGATTAACAAGTTGAAATCTTTCAAGATTAGAAAGTGCAAGTTTAAGTTGTTGTCGAATACGAATTTGATGAAAAACGGCCACAACATATTCAAATGAATAATTTTTAATTTTTAAAAGTATAGTTGAAACAAGTTCTTGAACACGGCCTTCACGTAATAAATAATCATGATCACCAAGTTTCATCTGTGGAAAACAGAATTAATTAATAGAATCAGAAAAAAAAACTAAGAAATAATAAGCCACAAGCCTAGGGTTTTTAATAAGTCTAAAATGTGACTTGGTCACCGTTCAAGAATATTGGTGGGAATTTTGAGATTATGAAACTCCATAAAAATGGCTTGGATTTTCAATTTTTATTTGAACCGGTAAGAATTTTGGGATACCAGATCTACTCTTTTACCCCAAAATCCGACCCGAGGAACCTCTTTCCTTCCTAAAATAATTAATCCTTTAAGTAGGTCTTTCAAGTTGTGTCAACTTTTTTTTCTACTCATTTAGTACCAGATCTAGCTAGCCCACATTTTTTAAAAATCCCTCTACCCACTCCCGTTGCGCCCTCCCCAAAATTTCTCAAATCTAGATAAAAACGCTTTAAAAAACCTGTTCTAATTGTCTTTCTGTTAATTTTAATTCAACTTTTTCTTGTTCACCATCCCTTTCTTTTCTAAAAATAATTAATCCTTTAGGCCTTTCTTCTGGTTCTTCTTCTTCAATATTTTCAGGTAAATCAACATCATTACTAGTAACAGTTTCTTGTAAAACTTCTTTTGATTCATTTCGTTTCCTTTTACGTTTCCCAGATTTTGACTTTTTAATTTTTTCAACTTTTTCTTCTTCCTTTCGCCTCCAAATAGCCAAATTATTATTTCCTAACCCAAAAGCAACATGATTATCTAAATGGTCAATAGCCAAAGATTGTATTGGTGCATCCAAATGCCAAGTATGAACCAAATCGAAATTGTCCAATTTAACAATATTAACTCGCCGATCAACTGAACCACTAATTAAAAAGGTTTCATCTTTTGATAAATTGAGGGAAGTTATCTAAAAATTCATTTTTTAAAATGATAGTAAAAAACAAAATTTTTAGTCTGGTTAGGGACTCGAATAATTTTTGAAGCCAGAAAACCCTATAATGTACGAATGGCAAGATTTGGGCTCTGGCTCACTGACAGGTTTTGACCCCAAAAGCCCAATTTGACCGTCACAGATACAGCCCAATCCTTACATTAGTCCTTTCTCACTAAAAAGTAAATGCTCTCCAAAAGGAAAAAAAGAGCGAGGAAAGAAGTTCACCCAACTCGAATTACTCTCAAAACTTTTCCCTACTTATAAATTAAATGCCCAAACCGTCTTCTTATGAAGTTGCAATTCCTTGACAATCTGGCCATTATTTAAATCCCAAAATTTTATTAAATTTCCGCCAGCTGAAGCAAGCAAATTATTTTGTGAAGATAAAAACAAAATTTTTTCGACTGGTAAGCCATGATTAAATTCACGCACAAAACTGCTTCCATCTTGCCTAGTATCCCATAAATGAATTGTGTTGTCATAAGATCCTATTTTAATTTTATTAAAAAAATTATTTTTCGCTAAAATAAAAAAACCTGTCGCCAATAAAAATTCATTGTTGGGAACAAAAGCACCCGTTCTAATAAAATCCATATGTGCCCCACAATTCCAAATTGGAGAAGCATTTTCGGTTGCCAAATCAAACAATTTTGTGTAACAATCATCAGAAAAAGAGGCCACTTTATGTCCACTAGCATCAAATTGAAATGAATAAATTTGACTTTTGTGTGCTTTAATTGTTCGAATTGGAGTACGTAGACCTTGTTTACGAGGCTTTTCGCTATGAGTATCAAAAAATTGTAGAAAACCATTTTCTGTGGATACACCTTTAAAAATGAAGTTTTTAAAGACTAAATAATCGGCAAAAATTTATTCTGAAAAGGGACAATCGACTTAACGAAATTGAACCAGTGATTTCCCAAAACAAAATTCGTTAGAGAAGCGCTACCCTAAAAATGTAGAAGTTTAAAACCAGTCATTACCAATGATTCAACACAACCCCACAAAATTCTTTCACGGCTAGATGTGAATGCTTCCCAAAGAAACGCTTCCCAACGTTTAGGAAAAGTTTTAAACTGGCCGAGTTTCTAAAACTTCAGTTCATAAACCCCACAAAATCGCTCATTTTCGGTCAATGTCATTCAGAAAAAAATTTGAAAATTAAAAAAAATCCAAACCTAACAAAGCGCCATCATGCCTATATTTAATCGAACATATTGAAGTTTTAAAACGAGAATAAATCGCAGACTGCTCTGTTGTGGCTGTATCAAATACAATAACCTGTAATTTAAGTAATAAGATTAAAATAAAATTAAAAATATTACTCTGCTTCCTCCAGCTACAGCCAATGAATAAGGAGTGGAAGGTTTGAAATCGCAACTGCAACAAGATTCTTCAAAAACAGCAGCTTCCTAAATAGAAAAATGTAGTTAAGAGAATTTCTCCGCATAGAAAGACACCTCATAAGATTAGAAAATAGGTCAAATCCTGGCCTAAAGTTAGGACTATTTTACGCATGATCTAAAACCATCAAGTTACCAGGACCAAAAAATGTAAATAAAAATAAACAGGCCAAGAAGAATTTTAGTCCAAATATTTGAATTTCATCCGAAGCCCAAATCCGAAGGATAAAAAAAACCAAGATCATGTGCACCCCTCACACGGCCACCGGAAACACAGACTAATTCCACAGCTTCTATTCCCTAAAAAAACCTCTAGTCTCATCCAGTATTTTTGTTCATCACTAAAACCATCCTCAGCATTCGCATCTCGTAGGGGTTGAATAGGCTTGAAATGAGTAGTCATTTTCTTTTAAAAATAAAAAAAAATAAATTTAAAAAAAAATTATTAAATATTATTAAAGTAAAATAACAAATTGTTAACAAAATTGAAATAAATTTCATAAAATTTTAAACAAAATCAAGAAAAAAAAATATATTAAAAATCAAAAATAAACAAAAATATTTTTTGGTCAATTCAATCATTATCTTCATCCGATTCAGCAAACCTTTTTCTCTTTGCAATGCCAGAATTGCCTAACCTCCTAAGCATTTTTGATGCCAAATGTGTTTTTGTTATAGCTTTTTTGGAGGAAATACGAGCAAGAATTTCTTCCTTAAAAATAAATTTTTAAAAAATTTTTAAATGGATATTTTAAATAAAAATTTATGCTAATCGTAGATTTAAAAATTTTTAGATTCCAAAGGTCGAGAACTTTGAAGCCCTTTAATTTTCGATTTGGGGGTCGGAGCCAAAAAAAGCCCAAAATTAACACTGCTCTACACGATAGTGGAAAAATAATTACAAAATTTTTAATGACGGAGCCAAAAAAAATTTTTAGAAGTTCAGAACAAGGTAATTAAGATTAAATTATCCAAGAATTAAAAGAGAAACAAGGTGGGAAGGTATTCCGGAGGCTTTTCCGCAGTTAGGTATTTAGACGATTTTCGGGAATTTTGGTTTTTTGGCTTAAGATTATAAACTTTAATATCCGAAAAATTTTAAATTCCAAAAAATAAAAAAAAAACCTCAGGTTTAACTTCCGCAACTTCATTAAAAACATCCCTTCTTGTAATTTTAAGAAATTCATCTCCAACATCTTTTTCATCCTTTTCTTGTTCTTCATCTACATCAAAAGCATTACTTGATGTATCACCACCAAGCTTAACTTCATCAGCAACAGTCTTTTTCTTATTATCAGAATCGCCAACATTAATACCTCTTTTGCGAAGAAAACGAATTCTTGGAGTTAAAGGTAGACCATAAGATCTTTAAAAAAGAAAAATTTGACAAAATTAACGAGTAAATGGCTTTGGTCTAATTTATGATTCCAATGAACTTTTATGTGCAATAGAGACTAGATCGGCCTGGATCTGGTTCCTAACCTTGATTTTTCTTGGATCAAGAGTCAAAGTCAAGGCAAAGATGATTCTCGAGTTCCTTTAACCTTGACTTTCCTTTGACTCAAGGTTAAAAATCTAGTCAGTGTCCTCGGTATAAATTACAAGTCCAATGAACCCTTATGTAGAGATCGTCCTGGATCTGGATCCAGACCTTGATTTTTCCTGAATCCAGAGTAAAGATCCCGGCAAAACTAATTTTCAAGATCCTTTAACCTTGATTTTTCCTCTGACTCAAGATAATGAATCTGATCAAGGACCTCAAATCAAGAATCAATGTTTCTTTAAATTTCCCATCCTTCTATCAAGTGAAGAAAAAATCTTTCATAGGACCCATAAACTAGACCAGAGCCCCATAATTTTAATTTATACTTTGCTAGTGCCTCAAAATTGATTGAATCAACATTAAAGACTGCTTTTAATTGTGCAAAATACACAGCACGAGCATAAGCGACAAACGCCTAAATTAAAAAATAAAATTTAAAAAAAAATAAAAAAAAAATTTCCCTACACTTTGTGCAAAATGTTTAACTTCAGGAAATGGAACCATTAAATTGGCCAATTTCAGTTGAATAGAAAATAATTTTTGTTTTTCAACCCTGCCAACAAAAAATTTTTTTTAAATAAATTAAAAACAATTTAACAACTTACTCAACTTTATTAATTGGGATTTGACGAGATTTTAACATTTCAACAAAAGCATCTTCTTGATTACTTGTCAACATAAGCATTGCTTCACCACTTTTGTTCATACGTGCAGTTCTTCCAACTCTTAAAAAATTTTTTTTTTATTTTTGAAAGACTGTCAAGTTACTAAAAAACTCATTTTCAGATTTATTTATTTTTAAATATCAAATTTTGCTTAAATAAAAATTTGAGAAAAGGAAGGGATATTGACCTCAAAATTACGATTTTCGAGAATTCTCTGAAAAATTTGGTAATTTTTTAATTTCCAGTCTTTAACAAATTAAGTTCTGAACTAATAGAGCAGTACAAAAAATAAATGATTTAATAAAAGAATAAACATTTACGAAGATCCATAAAGCAGAGCAAAATTTGCAAAACAATTTCGCTCAAAAAATCCCGTCGAAAAATTTCTTCTCAAGGAAAAAATTATTCTATTAGTGCTAATTAGCTACCGGTTAATTTTCTCCTTTAGCGGTTCAAACAAGGAATTTTTAAAGACATTTGAACCCCCACAAAAAATTAACCTACCCAACAACCTCTAATTTCAATTTTATAACTTAAAATAATTCTCTTACCTATGAATATAATCATCAACAGACGGAGGACAATCCATTTGTAAAACCCAATCAAGTCCAACAAAGTCTAATCCTCTACTTGCAATATCTGTACAAATCATCGCTGCTCCTTTATTGAAAATTTCATCAAAACGTTGGAAACGTTCCATTCGTTTTCCTTGTTTTAAACCTCCCCAGAGACCTGTGAAAAAAAGGCCTGGACGTAAATGGGTTATTGCTTCGGTAAGAAAACGAGCCTAAGGAAAAAAATTTTTGTTTGAGAAATTCAATTAAATTTAATAAAAAAACCTGTTTACAACTTGTAACAAATATAAGCGTTTTCTTTGTTTTATGATTTCGTAGAAAAGACCAGACAATATTAATTTTATCCTCTTCTTCGCAGACTAGATAGGACTAAAAAATAGTTAAGGTGAAAAGAAATTAATTTATTAAGTAAAAATTAAGGTAAGGGGGAAGCAACCTAGAGACAAGAAATTTGAAGAAAAAACTTAACCATGAAATGCCATACAGATATAAACTTGACCCAGATACAAAAAATGGATCAGTTAATGAAAAATCAAGGAAACCTAAGAAACAGAAATAGGCTTCTTAGGGAAAAAATCAACTAAAATTGTGTGTACCAGGAAACTCTTTTATCTGGTACGGAATCCAAAACCCGATCTGAAGAATTTTTGAAACCCCGATCCGAAACCTGCCCCCATTTTTATCCTTAGTGTGTGTCAATAGTATCTCCCTTCGACTCCCCTTAAAGAAAATTTTTAAACTAAAATTATTAGACTAACAAAGCCAAAATTTAAAAAAATAAACAAAAAATATATACTTGAGTTAATTGATCAGGCGTTGAATTTTTAGCACCTTCATGGGCAGATACAAATACTGGATCATTTAGCGAGACACGAACCAAATCTTCAACTCTTTTTGTTTGTGTTGCAGAGAAAAGAAGAGTTTGCCTTTGCTTTGGTAAGTTTTCAATAATTGCATCAATCTTTAAAAAGTTCAGAGAATTTTTAGAAAAAATTAAATCGAAAATTAGTTTCCCTTCATCTCTACTCAAAACTATGATTGCCAAAATAGTCCGACTCGGACCGAAGATCGAGTCGGGTCTGAGATATTTGGCTCAAAAAAGACCCGTATAGGCCCGACTCGATAAAAACAAGCCAAATGCCTCGACCGTCAGCCCAACTCGAAAACAGCAACCCATAGAAATGGACAGACCTAAATATGCTATCCCAATCTCCTACTTCATAGATTAAAGTAAAGTTGACGGTTCTAGACCGAACCGAAGAACCGATGATTTTTCGGTTTGGTTCCGGATATCCAAAGATTTTCCAAAAACCAATAACCCTAGCTACTAGTTCTGGTCTACTGAATCAACTAACAAATTTTAAGTCTGACATTTTTTAATACTTTGAGAAAAGAAGGGGGGAAGTTCGATTTTACAAAAAAAAAGTAAACTTGTTGTTTAAAGCCCATATCCAAAATCCTGTCAGCTTCATCAATTACAAGCATTTGAAGTTGGTCAAAACAAAAATAGCCGTTCTCATCCATATGTTGTAAAAGCCGTCCTGGTGTGCATATTACTATAGAAATGCCGGCAAGACGTTCACGTTCAAACTCGACGTCGGTACCTTAAAAAAAGAATTATGCTAAAATTTGTTTTGGAACTTGATAAAAATTGAAAGTCCGCAAGTATATTTTGAATTAAAAAAATAAAAAAGTTAAAACCAAGTAGAGTTGGGGTTTCGAGTTGGGCCGACGTTCGAGTCATTTTTTCGGGCCTCAATTTATCGGGCAGTCCTACCAAATCTTTTTCGGGCCAAAATCAGATGCCCAACTCTATCTTTCGGCCACAACCCAAAACCAAGGGCATATTTAGGGGTCGAATTTCAGGAAGGGGACACTAAAATGATTCGAAAAAAAGGAGAAGTTAAAGTCAGCAACACAGCAACTACAATTAGTTGATAAATCGAGGAGATTAAATATAACCCAATTTCGAGTTTTAGGAAGAATAGAAAAATTAAAAAATGTAACGCTTTTCAAAACGCATTCAACTGAAAAACAAGCAAAAATGCTTTGTGTTAAATGCGCTTTCGCAAAGCGTCTCAAATAATTTATTCCCATTAGTTTAAAGGTTTTGAAATCATATACATTTACGATTAAAACCTTATTAATTGAAATGGGAAAATCGATTTTAGTAACATTTTGAAAGTCTTTTCCCCTTACCGTTTTGAGCTTTTTACCTTCCCTCATTTTCCTTATTCTTCTTAAGGGAAGCGTCACAAATGATAAAATATTCCAAGTTATTGAAACAAACATAGAAAAAGTTGTGAGGAAGGAGAAAAGGAAGAAAAGCTCAAAATGGTCAAAGAAATGGAAAGGCTGGGAAGACTTCTAAAGTACTCCCAATCTTTCGGAAGCAGGCCAACATACCACGAGCCTAATTTACCGCAGAGCTACAACTTCGTTCAGAATTGTCGAATCCGGCACGCCCTGGTATGATTGATGCGACTCGACGAGCAAAATCGAACCATACCAGGTCGTTCTGGATTCGACCACATATTGTTAGAACAAAGTTATCGCTCTGCGGTAAGTTGGGGGTGTACTCCCAATTTTCCTAGAAAAAAATCTGAAAAAAAAACCTCCAATAAGTAAAGCAGCCGAAAAATCATGATAACTTCCAATATTATTCAAAACTTGAAATATTTGAAAAGCCAATTCCCTTGTTGGAGTGATCACTATAGCACCTAACCCATCAAATTTTGTCCATTTATTTCTCCAAAGGCATTCGAGTAACTTTAAAAAAATTTTAAAATTTCCAAAAAAATTTAAAAAAACCGGAATAAGCAAAGCCAACGTTTTCCCACTTCCTGTTTTTGCTGCCCCAACAACATCCTTTCCAACAAGTGAATGTTTAAGGGAAAGAAGTTGAATATCCGTTGGTGTAGTAAAATTGGAATCTTTAAGTCCTTTCAGAGTTACTGGCGATAGTGGAAAATCAGAAAATTTGTTTGCGATGAAAGTTGGCTAAAATTAAATAAAATTATGAGTTGAACAGAAAATTTAGGAACAGGTCAGGAGTCGAACCTTAACTTTTAAGAGCGTTCAAGTCTGGTGCCGAACACCGACGAAAGTCGGAAAACTACCTACCACCCATCGGGTAAACCTTACCAGCAACTATTATTAGACGCTTAACTCACCTAGTATAGTCTACCGACTAGTTTGAGTCAGGACTAGGCCGGGCTACCCGAACCCAACCCGACTTTTTTCTCGACCCGGCCCATCCCTGGTTTGACTGGATCTAGGCCTTAATTCCCAGACAGACTCTGGGATTGACCTTATTTTTGAATCCACCTAGCTGAGTCTGGAACCCTAGAAAACACAAGGCCATAGCCTATACCCAACCTGAATACTCCTACCCAAAGGGATCCTGCCGACAAAAAAACAAAACCCAACCCAGAAAAATCGTCGGGAATTCCCGACTTTGTGAATCGGTCCCGGATAGGATCCTTAGGATAAGATCCCTCCTACCTACTGACGCTGTTTGGACAAACCCCGTACCTTCCTATAGAACTTGAATCTGTGTGTTTCACCAACCAGGCCCGTAGCCAGGATTTTTTTTCGGGGGGGGGGGGGGGGGGAATTTTTTGCGCCAAATTTTTGGCGCCGAAGGCGCCAAAAATTTTTATTTTCAGTGCCGCAGGCGAAAATTTTTTGAATTTTAGAAGGCCGTAGGCCAAAAAAATTCACTCTTTCGGCGCCGCAGGCGCCAAAATTTTGATTTTCAGCGCCGCAGGCGAAAATTTTTTGGATTTTGGACCTTAAGAAGCCAGATTTCTTCCTTTTTTAGCGCCGCAGGCGAAAATTTTTTAAATTTCAGAGGCCGTAGGCCGAAAAAATTCACTTTTTTTCCCCAGCCCTTCCCCAAATTTTTTCCTTTTTCCCATTTCGGGGGGGGGGGGAATTCCCCCCCTCACCCCCCCCCTGGCTACGGGCCTGTCACCAACTAATCACAACTATCCTCCCTTAATACCTGTTCCTATAAACTTTATTAATCAGAAAAACTCACAGAATTTAACGTATCATATTTAATAGTAACTTGTTCAATTAAATTTCCAATACTTGACTTGTTTCTATTTTGTTGTTTTCGTTGTCGTTTCCGTTCAATTAAAGCTTTGTTTTTAGGCTCTTTTAAAATTATTTCTTCGTCATCATCGCTATCTCGAAATTTTTTCCTCATTATAATATTTATATTTAGTTGTTCTGCTAAAAAAACAAAAAACAAAAAAAAAATTTTTTAAAACCCCAAAGGAAAAAAATAAAATAAAAATTTTTTAGATGCCGGCCTCTTTCAGTGCAACATTTTAGTCGCCTTTTTTGACCGGACGTTTCAGTGCTGAAAGTGTTAATAAATATTACAGAGTATTGTCTTCAATAAAGGAAGCCGGAAATTATTTTCAACTGGATTAAGACCAGGCCGAATTAATTTAGAAAAAATCCTAACGGATCTAGTCCGACTTTAGTTACAAATCCAGAATCTGACTGCAGAAAAATCTATTTAAAAAATAGTCACTAGCCTTTATCATACATAAAATAAATGGTTAAATGCTCTAATAGAACCACACTCCCTATTTGAAGCACACTCCCTAATATAAGCACACTCCCTAATATAAGCACACCCTACGAGGGGATCGAAAAATAGAAGCACATGTGATTCTATTAGAGCATTTACGGTAAATGGGAAAATTTATTTACAATTTTTAGTGTTAACAAATGATTATCTATACATAAATTATATACATAATGCCCTAGAATTATTATTTTCCGATATTGTCCTTCATTCTCCTTCCCTCTCATCCAGTTTCTATTCTTTCTATCCTCTAGTTTCTCGGCTTCCCGCTTGCTCGGTAGTCGTTGAAGTTGATTCCATGTTTGTTGGATGAGTGACGATTCTAGGAGTCATGTTGATGATCTGAGCGCGTTGCAAAGGGTAGGGTTCCAACGCCATTACTTGAGGCACATCCACCACCTAAATTTAGGCAAAATAAATTTTTTCAATGTTAAGGCAACTAACAGGTGGAGGCAGCGAGTCATGATTGTGTTGACGATTACTCGATGAAAAGACGAAAATGCCATGGATACTGTTGAAGAGAATTTTCATACGAGCCGGGCATATGTAGAGGCCATCTTCTTTATGCTTAAAAAGTCAAATGTCAATTTTTAAATGTCAATGTCAGACGTATGTCACTTTAAAAAGTCGATGTCAGATGTCAAAATGTCAACTTTTAAAAAGTCGATGTCAGTGTCAGACATATGTCAATGTCAGACATATGTCAATTTACTCACCGCACAATGCCAATACTCGGTAAGCCCAACTTTTGAATCATATCGAGTGTTGAACCTCCACACAAGTCCCTGCTGTCGTCGCTCTTCCGTCCACGCTTCCAATTGACGTTTGGTTCGAAAACGAGCAATAAGCGAAGTGTTATATCTTGATCGCTTGCCAAAGCCTTTGTCTTTATGCATTTTAGAAGCACTCATTTTGTTTTGGACAAACTGTTACCTTAAAGGAAAAAACTTTAGGTAATTTAAAAAGTAAGAAGCTTACTTGACAGCGTTCCAAGTAAACAAGTATCCTGACAATTATGTTGTGTGAATTTGACAAGTAGAAGGTAGAATGGTCTTGGTGAATCTTTCATTTCCCCTTTTATACTAGACTTTATTGACAGAATTCTGAATCTCTTGAATGATCTTATATCCAGCTTCTAGGAGGGAAGATCGCGCATTTAACACACTTACTGGGCTGGGATTTAAACCAGTGTTGATTGCTGGACAGAAGACAGGATTTGATACCTAGGAGAGGTCGCAGGACGATGTGGTGGGGCTCTACTGACCTAAAAACCCCGGGGCCCTCTACTGACCTAGAAACGTTTTTCCCTTATTGGCCTAGAAGGTTAAAAACCAAAAAAATGTGTCACTATCAGTTTTATTACAAAATACATTTTTACATATGTACAATTAACAGAAAGACTATATACATATCAAATTATTTCTCAACGTTATATTATTCAATTCATCCTCTTTCTTACTTCCTTCTCATCCGATTTCAATCTTTCTTGTCATTTTTAGTTTCTCGGCTTCCCGTTTGTTCGGTGGTCGTTGAAGTCATTTCCTTCTTTGGTGGGTGAGCGACGATTCTTGGAGTCATGTCAATAATCAGAGCAGTTTGCAACGGGTAGGGTTCCAACACAATTGTTTCAGAGGCACCGACACCCTAAATTAGATAGATAAATTAGCCGATTTTAAGTGTTTTTCGAACCGTTTTTGGCGGTGGCAATGAGGTATGATCGTGTTCACGATTCTTTGATTCATAGAGGTAGATTCCTCGATGGCCGCGGAAGACAACTCGTAGACGAGCCGGGCAAATGTAGATGCCATCCTCTTTGTACTTAAAAAGTCAAATGTCAATTTAAAAAGTCAAATGTCAATGTCAGAAATGTCAATGTCAGACATATGTCAATTTTTACTCACCGCACAATGCCAGTACTCTGTAGCTCCTTTACGCGCATCATATCGAGTATTGAGCCTCCAAGTCTCTCCTTTCGCCCGTCGACTATCCCACCACGCTGTCAATTCCCGTTGGCTGTTAAAGTGTGCAAGTCTTTCATACTTCGATCGTTTGCCGAAGCCTTTATCCTTCTGGACTTCAGCGGCATCCTTTGTCTTCTGTCGATATTCACCATCATCAGCTGCCCCCATTGATACCTTGAAGGAAAATGAATTTAAAAAAAGTGTAGGAAGGTTTGAAAACAGAAAACATACTTAATTGGGGATGTCCTGACGATCGACGATGAGTGGATCCAGCAGAAAGTAAGTTGAGGTTTTTCGAGATACGGGTTCTCATTTTCCTTTTTATACTAGATTTATTGTCAGGTATATGGATAAAGTGAAAATCGAGTATTGAGCCTCCAATTTGCAAGAACAAAATCAAATTCCCTTACGTATTGTAGGCCACCAGACTTACTACCTTATTGTAAAGCAGGCAAAATTTCCTCCCGTAGCCTAGTAGATGAACCAAAAATTAAAACTGCAACAGTCAATGCTGGGATGGCGTTCAGCTTTCAGGATCATCCAGTCAATCTTTCGTTATTTTCTAGGAGGACTTTCTGAGAACACGTGAGAAGTCGTCCTTTTCCCCTGACCATTTTGAGCCTTTTCCCTTCATTTTTTCCCTTATTCTTCTTAAGACAAATATCACAAATTATGAAGTATCCAAGCTTTTAGATAACAAAAAATGTAAGAAGTCCATTCATGAAAAAATTTTCGGGCAAAGCCCAGTCCTACAACCAGCCCCGATTTTCGTTCCACGTGTGAAAAAAACAAATATAGAGCACAACACTAATTTCTTTTTTAACATAATTAGGGAATAATAAGATTTATATCAAAATAATCCAACTGGCAATAAAAGTGGACAGAGAGAAATTAGAGGAAAAAATCAGAGGAAGAGAAGAGAGGAATTAAACGTGAGGGGAGGAGAGGAGAGGGAGAGGGGCTTTTGGATGTTTTGGACTATGGAACCGGTTGGAGATTATTTTATATAGAAAACTTTTTTTTGAAAATACTTTCCTTGTTCATTCTCATTTTTAAAACTAAAAATAAAAATTTTTTGTTGGCCCCAACATCTTGTTTAACGAGTGTCCTCGTCTTAGGTAGGTTAGATTTTTAGACTCTGACGAGTTCAATTTTTATTTTTAAAGTGCACTCCTCTCTCTAATCCTCTCTCTAATCGGACAAAAACTAATATTTCGTGCTTGTATCAGTTACAAGTACAAGTAAAGCCTCTCTCTAATTAATCAAAATCTCTCTTAAATTAAACCCTCTACTCATTTAGGGTACGGCCCACTTAGTCGCGCGGCCACTTAGTCGCAGAGCCATAACTTCCTTCAAGTTTTCCGAATCTTACCAAATTTAGTATTAAACGATTCCTCTCATCGAGCTAAAGAGATTGGTACCAAAATTGATAAGGGCAAGAAATTTTTTAGCAAGTTATGGCTCTGCGACTAAGTGGCCGCGCGACTAAGTGGGTGTGTCCTACTCATTTATTTTGTCACTCCCCCGTCTGTCTGCAAATTGATAACATGCCTTGGCATTATGGTTGTCAGTTCTCGGAACTGAATCGAAGAACAGAGGATTTTTCTGTTCGATTCATCGATTCGGTTTTTGATAAAGATTCCAAGAACCGATAACCTTGCTGGGAATAAGTTGAAAATGTGGCTATTTTCAATTTGCGGACAAAAATGCGGACACAAACCCGGGGAAGGGAACCGTTTCTATAAACTATGGGATCTTCTGATTTTTTCCAGAAATTTTTTCTGAATCCAGAACTTCAATAGTTGTTTTTAAAATCATTTTTACAAAAATATTCCATTAAAATTACTTTTTAAAAAAATCATTTTCTGTCTTTTTTTCCTATCAAAAAATCTGCCTTTCCACGTCCACTAAAATTTTTAGCCAAAAAATTCTTTTCAATTTTCCCCTTATAGTGGGCATTTAAAATGAAGAGAGAGAAGAGACGGAGAAAATAAAGCCGAAAAACCAACTAAAAAAAATATTCACTTCTGCCTTAGTTTTGACGGCCGAGCGATCGCGCAACATTCAAATGAAAAAAAATTATTTTTATAATCACATTTTGCGTTTGTTGTCCACTCTTTCAAAAAATTTGTATTTATTTTCTCTTCTTTTTTTTATTTTCTTTTTATTCTTTTTTTTTTGATTTTTCATTTTTCTATCCTCAAAACATGTATTACATTATTAATATTTTTAGTCCAATAATTTTTTTATAAATTTGCGGACAAAATTTGCGGACAAAAAAATTTTTTTTAATTTTCTAATAGCCCTAACAGCCCTCTACCTTTAGGATATTGATCCTAAACCTTCCTAATTTTATCCATATTCCCTAAAGGCTTAGTCCAGTAATATTTTTATAAATTTGCGGACAAAACTTGCGGACAAAAATTTTTTAAAATTTTCTGAAGCATTTTTAAAAGAAGTTTATTAAATATTTTAGCCAAGTTAATAGCCCTATCTATTAGATATTGATCCTAAACCTCCTAATTTTGTCCATATTCCCTAAAGGCGATCGCGCAGCATCAAAAAAATTTTATTTTGTCCGCAAAACTTTTTTTTTCCAATTTTTCTACAACCAAAGACAATGTTCTTCCAATTTCTAGAGTATTTAATTCAATTTTCAACTTTTTCCAAAATTTTATAGTTTGCAGATACAAAAATACCCTTATAAATTTTAATTCAATGGAAATTATAATTATGTCCGCAAAAATTTTTTTCTGTCCGCAAAAAAAATTTTTTTTTGTCCGCAAAAGTTGTTTTCTGTCCACTTATTTCCCCTACATTTCTAAAGTTAAAAAAAGTGGAGAAAAGTCGTTTTCGCGCTTCTCTCCGTGAAAAATCTGAGAGAAAAAATAAAAGAAAAAAAAGTATTATTTAGTACTGGCCGATTTTAGTTGTTTAGTTGATGGCCGGTCTTTTTCCCCTCCTCCCTTCTTTTTTCCTCATTCTCCATTAAATCCACTTTTTTTTTCTTCCTCAATTTTATATCGAAAGTAGGACTTTGCGCAAATTTATTTTTTTATTTTTAAGGCAAAAAATTACGTGCAAAAATTACGTTTTGATTTTCTTGTTGTTGTTTTGTTGTTGTACTTTTAAAGAGAAGAAGAGATTCTCCTTTCTTCTCTTCCCTTCTCTTCTTTTCTTTTGTTTCGTCTTTTTCATATTTTGCCAATTCCACATTTTGCCAATAAGGCTAAAAATTTACATTTTGTCAATAAGTAGTGTTGACAAAACGAGAATTTTTAGCCTTATTGGCAAAATGTGGTTTGGCAAAATATGTTGACTTGTCATTTTCTTTTGTCATTGCGCAATTCATTGCGCTTCTTTTCTTTTTTTTGTTTTTATTTTTATTTGTTGTCAACGTTGCGCTTTTTTGTCCACTCTTCTTGTTGCGCGACAATATTATCCTCTCCTCTTCTTCTCCCTTTTATTTAAAATTAAGCCTTATTATTTTTCCCCTAATTTTCTTTTTTTTTATTTTCTTGTTTTTTTTTTGTCCACTCAACTGGTCAGCGAAATAATTAGAAAAATAAATAAATTAATGTTGATTTACCTACATTTTATATTTATTTATTGCCATAATTAGGTTAGTATGTTTTTCGAGAAAAAAAGGGGGGAAAATTTAATTTTATTTATTTTTTGTGGGGGGGGAGAATTTGCGGATTGGGGTTGCGGACGCCTACTTAATTAAAGCTTATACTATAAGATACCTCATTGTATCTGAAAAAAGGGGTCTCTTCTCCCAACTCTTGACCAACCAAATTTTAAGAGAAAATCGAGGTTAATTTTGGGTGTATTTATAAGTGTGGTTCGACTCCTAGAGGTTATTCTAAGCATGGTTGTTATATATGTAGTTCTTCCGTTCTCTTCCACAAAATATCTAAGGCAGGGATGGGAAGGGGTACACGAACTCCGATCCGAGGAATTTTCCAAAAGACGAACCCACACTCGACTTTTTTCTCAACCCGCCCCATCCCTGATCTAAGGGTGATATTAGAGAGTTGATGACAAACTTAGGATGATCCCTTACTACATACTCTTTTTAAAATAATTTAAATCAAAGAACTCTCCCTTTTTCTATGTTAAAAAAATTTTTTTTCTTCTTTTGTTCACAAACTAGGCCCATTATTCATTTTTCAATTTTCACTTTATTTTCAGTCATTTGCTGATTTTCTCTTAAAAATATTATTTTTTTTCGACCGGCTGAATGGCCGAGCACAACAAGCACAGACCGGCACACGGACACGTTCTTTTCTTTTTTTTTCCTTTTTATTTTTCCTTGTTTTTGTTGTCTCACTTTTTATATAATGCGCGTCCTCCACGCCAGCCAAAAATCTTCCCCTTCCTTCCCTTCTCTTCACAAAAATTTTCTTCTTCTTCGTCCTTTTACTCTCTTCCCTATAAATATATTTACTAACCCCCCCCCCTTTAAAAACAATTTACAAAACACACTCTGCTTCCGACTGTCCACACATTTAATTCAACTTTTATTTTTAAATATAAAAATACTTAACTTCACTTTCCTCGCAACAACAAAACAAACTTTAAAAAATTAAATAGACAATAAATTGTTTTTTTTCTCAACTTTTCAAAATTTTGTTTTGCCCTTGCGTTCGTCTCTAAGCCTACGGTTTTCGACTGAGGTCAGTGGATCCTTAAAAATCGTCTGACATCCGGTCCGAAAATTTTGGATATCCGGGCTTTTTTGGATCCGGAATCTGGATCCGCCATCCCTACTTTGCCTCCTTCACACTCTCAACTTGTTCGTTCCTCAGGCCTCTCGCTCCTTTTCCCAACATTTTAACACAAAGGTGAACAGATCCTTAGGAAATCTTCTGATACCTGCCAATCCGAAAATTGGTATATTTAGACTTTAAACTTTTTCCTGATCCTCTAACCTTATTCCCCAACGTTTCTAGCTCGTTCGAGGTTTCTCGCCATTTTTTTCTTAATGCAGATCCCGGGAAATCTCTTCGGATACTTGCCGAACCTCAAATTTAGGATATCCAGACTTTTTCGAATCAAAATCATCCGAATCCGCCAGCCCTACTTCTCTCAACGTTTCTAGCTCGCTCAGGCTTTTCCAACATTTTTTCTTTAATTTTTTGAAGTTTCCGCCTTCCGTCACTCACTTTTTTTTGTTCTTCCCAAAAACACTTATCCTCTCTCTTAAAAAACTTTTTTCTCAACAAACAAAACTCCTTTAAAATCTCTCAAACAAACAAAATTTTTTTGCCAATTGTCCACCTTCATTTGTCCTTCGCCTAGTTTTTTTTTCCGTCTGTAGTGTCGCTCTAACGCACAAATCGGTGAATTTTATTTTTTAAAATTTTCTATGTATTCGTAAAATATTTTAATTTATTTTTTCTCAAGTTTTTTTACTTTTCAAGTTCTGTCCAATTTCTATAAAATTGAAAGGTTGGCGTTTTAATTTTTACCGGTTCCCCTGTTATGTTTCCATGAACCGATACCAGAACAATTGTTGTTCCTAATGTCTGGAATCGAAAAATACTAGCTCCTAGATTTGCTTAAAAATCCTTGGGTAAGGGGAAAGATTTCCCATCAGGGCTGGACGCAACTGAAAAAAATTTTCCGCAGCCGCAATTCGTAGTTGCGTCCAGCCCTGCTTCCCATAGCAAGTAATTTCCTTAAAATCACTTACACCACTCCGTGGTGTCCGTGGTGTAGTGGTTAATATGCCAGACCTTCGCACACCTCTTCCTTTCTGATAGCCCAGGTTCAATGCCTAGCGGCATATATTGGCTGCTTTAGTCTTAGTATCTTATAAACACCTTGTTTTTAAATTAAATTTTCAATTTTCTTCTTCTCTTCATTTTAAATTTTCTCGGCTCTTGTCCAGTTTATGCGTCCCATGAAAGTATATGCGTCCCATCAACAAAAAATTGGATCTTTCTTGGTGTTGCAAAGTAGGGGTATGGTTCCAAAGCATTTCTTCATGTTCGCGATCTACGTCCACTGGGTCTGGGACCGTTCCTTACCCTATACCTCGAAATTTCTGAAAGTTATAGCCAATTTTTAAAAATTTCAGAAAAACGATTTTAACTTTCAGAAATTTCGAGGTATAGGGCATGGAAAAGTCTCAGGCCCAGTGGGCGTAGATCCCGAACATGAAGAAATGCTTTGGAACCATACCCCTACTTTGCAACACCAAGAAAGATCCAATTTTTTGTTGATGGGACGCATATACTTTCATGGGACGCATAAACTGGACAAGAGCCATTTTCTCTTCCATCAAACAATCATTTCTTCCTTTGTGTCCTTTTATTGTTGTTATTTTCTTTTCCATTTTTGCCCCCAATTTTTTCTTTTCACCTTCGCGCGCCGGCTGGCACTAACACTTCTTTTTGACCTTACTTTTACGAAGCGAAATCGCGGAATTCTCCCAAAACTTTTTTCTATTGCGCGTACGGCCTTTTTTCTACTCCCTTTCATTTAAAGGTGGCAATTGTAACTGATGGCCTTCATCATCACACGCCCTCCGTCTTCCAAAAATATTTCTTCCCTTTCTTGATTTTACTCTCTTATTTCTTTGATACTCTTCGTCTCTCTATGCTCGTCTCTTCCTTGGTTTCTTTTTCTTCCTCTCATTCATCATTACCCTTCCTCTCTTCGTCCTTTCTTCATCTTTTCTTCTTCATCTCTTCCTAACCTCTTCCTTTCCTCATCATCTTTTCTCCATCTCTTCTTCCTTTTTTTCACCCTTCTTCTTACTTATTCATCTCTTCCCCTTCTTCTTCTCTTCATCTGCTTCAACCTTCTTCATCTCTTCTTAACCTCTTCCTTTCCTCATCATCTTTTCGCCATCTCTTCTTTCTTTCCTCTTTAACCCTTCTTCCTTACTTATTCGTCTCTTCCCCTTCTTCATCTCTTCTTCATTTTTCTTCTTCCTCGTCATCCTTTCTTCGTCTCTTCATTTCTTCATCCTTTCTCCCTCATCCTCTCCTCTTCCTCCTTTCTATTTCCTCTTCTTCATTCTTCCTTCATCCTTTATTCCCTTACTTTCATCATTTCCCCTTTACTTCATCTTCCTTACTTCATCTTCCGTATTCTTCACCTTATTACTTATTTTTACCCTAAATTTTCTCCTTTCCTGAATCTTCTCTCTCCTACCCCTTCCATTTAGCTAACTAAATTTCTCCTTTTCCATCTTAATTCTTCTTTTCATCTCTTTCACTTCCCTTTCCGCCTTTTCCATAATTCCCTTTTCTACGCAGTCTTGGTCATATCTTCTTCTTCCATTTTCCCCAATGGGGCGCCCAAGGTCGATGGCCCTGACCTGAATTTGTTTTCTTTTTGTATGTATGTTTTGTGTCCTCATTTCGTTTCTAAAAGGACATAACAACAACAAAAATTGTTGAACAAGGGCTCAAGGAGGTCTTTTGGGGGGATTTTTGGGAGAAAGTATTAAATCAACCTATGAAACCGGGTACAGCCCAAGTAGGCGCGCGGCCAGGTAGGCGCAAAGCCATAACTTGCTTCAAGATTTTCGAATCTTTCAAAATTTAGCATTAAACGATTCCTCTCATCGAGCTAAAGAGATTGGAACTAAAATTGTTAAGGTCCAGAAATTTTCCAGGTAGTTATGACTTTGCGCCTACCTGGCCGCGCGCCTACTTGGACGTGTCCCTATGAAACCTGCTAGAAATTAAAAAAATTTTTTTTGAAAATAATTTTGCCATTTTTAACTCGCTTTTTTGTTTTATTCTTGCCCCTTATTTTTTCAAAAAAAATTTTTTTTCCAATTTTCAGATTCTAGAAATCTCTAGAAAATGGGCCTTGATTCATCCCCCGACCCCTCAACCAGTGCAGAACAATTGGTCGCCTCTCCCGTTGCTACAGCAGTCGTGGCTGATGCACAAGTTGCTACTGCCGCCACTGATGTACTTCGGCAAATGATAGCAATGGAGAAACAACAACAACGAAAACGCCCTTCTGTTTCGTGTGATTCTGGTGATGGACACCGACGGAATATCAAAAATGAGGGAGAGAATGTAAGGGGCTATTTTAAAAATGATGTAGTAGTAGTACAGTCGGACCTCCCTCCCAAAAATGAGATAGAACTCTAAGAAATGTTTTTAAAATTGGAGTGGCCATTGGGTGAAGGAACTGTCTAAGCGATACCCCCCAATTTAAGATACACTCATTATAAGTTACCCTCCATTTAAAATACCTCTCATTATAAGGTACAATCTTTTCATCCCTAAGGGTGTATCTATAGGTGAGGTCCGATTCGTCTGATTCTATTTAAAAATAATCAGGCAAAGTAAGGGTCCCAGGCTTCCCGTTGATTTTGGAGAAATTAGGAGTTGTCTGATTATTCGAGAAATTTATTTTAAATTAAAAAAAATATTTTGCCTTTTATTTTACCAACGTTTGAGGGTAACTCTCATTGGACGTCTTCGTTATCACGGATTCTGCGCAGTACGAATACAGATGAAGAAGAAAGACGAATAAATGAACAAGAAGCATCAACTGTCGGTAAGAATTTAAAAATTAACCTAAAAATTATTCTGGCTTGGGTGTCCAAAAATTTTTTTTTTAATAATTTAGTGGCCACTAGGTCTTCGATAATGCTTTGTAAAACACTCTAAAACGCTTTAAAATTAAAGGAATTAAAAATTGGGGGTACCCTCTATTTAATAACCCGCCCCCACCCTATTTGAGCTTCATATTAATTTTCTTTTTTACTCCAATCATTTTTTCCTTCAAACATTACATGTAAAAGACAAGAAGGAACGGCAAAAATCGGCCTAACGGCAAAAATTCCTAGGCAGGAAAAATAAAAAGGAAAATTAATCTGAGACTCAAATAGGGGTGGGAGCGGGATATTAATAAAGTACCAAAAATTTGTACCCCCTATTTAATAACCCCTCATCATAAGGTATTTTTTCATTTTTGTGGGGTAAAATGAGTTGGTCCTATTCTGCGCTTTAAAAATTTTTTTGTTTAAAAATAAAAAAAAAGATAAATGTGAATGGGTGGGTGAATAGCCAAAAAATTTATTTAGATAATATTTACATACATTTAAATACTACAAAAAAGTAAATATTTTTATTTGCTTATTTTTGGGGGTATTATATTTTGGCGCCCTCATTTAAAAATCATTTTGTGGGCAAGTAAAGTGAGTGAGTGATCTTTATTTTTATTTTGTGCTTTTTTGTAAGGTTATTTTGGCCCGCGCACCCTTTTATATTCAAAAAACCAAAAGAGAGGGAAACACGTGCCAGTAAATAACACTAAAAACTATATAGCATTTTTATATAGCTAATAATTTGCGGACTGACTTTTGCGGATATTCATCAAGCTTTGGATATTTTAACCTTGTATAGCCGTGGGGAATTCCCTTCCACTCTGCGTTATCGATGTGTAGTCACGGGGCATTCCCCCACGTGTTCTGCGATCGGGCTTTATTTTAGACCAACCCTAGCACCAAAATTTGTTCAAATTTTAATAGGTTTCTGTTTTGTCCGTGTATGCAGATTCCTCTGTTAACCAGCAAATTTTCTCTTTTAATTAAAAGTTTGCGGACATTTATAATTCTCTAAAACAGAGGGGCATTAAAATAATCCTCTTAAAACAGAGGGGTATTAAAATCAGACTAGGACACCGGATATTTATGGTGGATATAGGCCTATACAGACGGATATCCGCAGGCATTTTTTCAATATCTGTATCCATATCCATGTCCTAGTCTGATTAAAAATTATCAGACTCAATCTGGAATACTATAATTAAAAGTCTTACAAATTTCCTTTAATTTATTTTTAATTTAAAGCAAACAACAATAGCACCAACCCTTTCAATCTCGAATTAATTAGCGATGCGGAATTGGCAATGCTCTGTGTGTTCCACGTGCCTGATAAAGCTTTACATTTACAAGACCCGAATAATCGAGCTTTTACGTCTCTTCCGCTTAATTTAACTTTGAAACCTTCAAATGTAGCAGTGGCTAAGGAAAGAAATGTTTGTGTTTTTCAAGAAATTTTTCAAAAAAATTTTCAAAAAATTTTTTAAAAAAATTTTTTTAAAAATTTCAAAAAATTTTCAAGAAATTTCAAAAAAAAATTTTCAAAAATTTTCAAAAAAATTTCAAGAAATTTCAAAAAAAAATTTTCAAAAATTTTCAAAAAAATTTCAAGAAATTTCAAAAAAAAATTTTCAAAAAATTTTTAAAAAAAATTTTTTTAAAAATTTCAAAAAATTTTCAAGAAATTTCAAAAAAAAATTTTCAAAAATTTTCAAAAAAATTTCAAGAAATTTCAAAAAAAAATTTTCAAAAATTTTCAAAAAAATTTCAAGAAATTTCAAAAAAAAATTTTCAAAAATTTTCAAAAAAATTTCAAGAAATTTCAAAAAAAAATTTTCAAAAATTTTCAAAAAAATTTCAAGAAATTTCAAAAAAAAATTTTCAAAAATTTTCAAAAAAATTTCAAGAAATTTCAAAAAAAAATTTTCAAAAAATTTTTAAAAAAAATTTTTTTAAAAATTTCAAAAAATTTTCAAGAAATTTCAAAAAAAAATTTTCAAAAATTTTCAAAAAATTTCAAGAAATTTCAAAAAAAAATTTTCAAAAATTTTCAAAAAAATTTCAAGAAATTTCAAAAAAAAATTTTTAAAAAATTTTTAAAAAAAATTTTTTTAAAAATTTCAAAAAAATTTCAAGAAATTTCAAAAAAAAATTTTCAAAAATTTTCAAAAAAATTTCAAGAAATTTCAAAAAAAAATTTTCAAAAATTTTCAAAAAAATTTCAAGAAATTTCAAAAAAAAATTTTCAAAAATTTTCAAAAAAATTTCAAGAAATTTCAAAAAAAAATTTTCAAAAAATTTTTAAAAAAAATTTTTTTAAAAATTTCAAAAAAATTTCAAGAAATTTCAAAAAAAAATTTTCAAAAATTTTCAAAAAAATTTCAAAAAAATTTTCAAAAAATTTTCAAAAAATTTCAAAAAAAATTTTCAAAAAAATTTTTTCAAAATTAAAAAAAAATTCTCAGACTCTAATGTCCAAAAAATTTTCAAAATTGTTTTTAAGGAACACGGTGTATTTTCAACAGATTTTATTCCTCGTTTCGCCCGTTTTGGCCCATTATGTGGTGATTGTCGAATGCCTTTAGTTAATAATAAAGAAGAAAATGCTAGTACAGTATCGTTGCCATTAAAAGAAGCTAAAGCATTTTGTTTAAAAAGCGTGGGAGAAGAGAAAGAAAGAAGAAAGAAAGAAAAATTTAAAACAAATAGTTTTGATGAATCAACAACAAAAACAAATGTTTTTAACGATGTTTTGGAAAATGTTGGGCATTTAAAACAGCAACAAAAACAACAATATACAATTAAAACATCAACAAACAATGAAGCAAACATAAATTCTGCTTTTAATTTAAATCAGAATTTAATTAAACCATCAACAAACAATGAAGCAAACATCAATTTAAATCAGAATTTAATAAAAACATCAGCAAACAACGAGACAAACATTTATTCTGATTTTAATTTAAATCAGAATTTAATAAAAACATCATCAAACAACGAAACAAACATCAATTTAAATCAGAATTTAATTGAAACATCAACAAACATTGAAACGAACATTTATTCTGATTTCAATTTAAGCCAGAATTTAAACCAGAATTTAATTAAAACATCGACAAACATCGAAACGAACATTTATTCTGCTTATAATCTAAATCAGAAAAACGAAGAAAGAGAAAAAGATGAAATGAACAACAACAACATTAAAACAAAGAGAAGCAGTGTTTGGAAGGTAAAGAAATGTTTTTAAAAATCTAAGATACAAACAAAGATTCTGACTATCAGAATTTAAATCAGAATTTAATCAAAACATCAACAAACACTAATACAAACATTAATTCTGATTTTACTTTAAACATAAGATTAAAAGGTTTAAGCTTGTGTGGGAGAAAAGGACATAATCCACTCCCCATCTAATAATCTCTTAAAATTTATCAAATTAATTATGTAGGCTTTTCTGCCCTTTCCTTTTTAAAATAAAAATTGACCATTTTATCAACTTAAATTAAAAATTTATTTTTTATAAACCTTTCCCCCTCAA